TGTGGTACTTTGTGGTCCTTGTAACATTTCACTCACAGAATCCCCCTTAGGATCTCTTGTAGGGCTGGTTTAGTGGTGATGAATTCCAAGAAGAAAAATGATTAATCAGGATAAAACAAACAGAAGCATTTGCAGAATCTATATGAAAACCCTTCTTGCATTATTCTTTGAAACCAGGTGCTCTGACTATGAGCTAGAGTACCTGGGATTGTGAAGGATCTTGTAATAACATGTATCTTCATATTCTTTTTCTCAGGCTCTTGCACAATGCCTGAAAACTGGCAGATGTGTGATCAATGTCTTTCAAGTAAATGGAAGGGTTGTTGATTCACCTGTATGAATAGGACCTTTTGCCAGTTGATCCGAGGTCGATCACTCTTCTGACTTTATTGGGCTTTTCCAAAGGAAAACCACAACAATCATCTCTCTCAATCACCACAGTAATAACAGTTATAGTACTAGCAGCTGGTATTAATTGAGCACTTACTGTGTGCCAAATACTATGGAATCTTAACATGGATAATTTCAGTTAACTTCACAAATTATCCCCACTTTACAGATTAGGAACTTGAAGTTTAAGACACCCAGTAACTTGCCTACATAACTTGTTAAAGCATTACTTGAAGGAGCCAAGATGGAAGCACAGAAACCATATACTACATAAGGTATACTGCTAGCAACTAATCAACACCACTAGGCTCATGGTCATTGACTCATTACTGGTGACACTGATGTCCACCGAGTAGCTCTTCCTACTCCAGGCACGCAGCAGCAGATTACGACTGCTGGCTGAGAGGAACGCCAGCCCTTTGGATTGTGGAGGAGCATGGCAGGCATCTCAATGTTGTCACCTGCCCCTGGAAGTCGCCATGACAACATGCTTGGAGTCTTTCTTGGTGCACTCCGGCCTGGTGTTAAGTACAAGCTTCTTTACTCCTTATGGATCCCAAAAAACCAAACCTTCAATGACAGTGCCTGTTGGTAACTGGCTTCCTGTAATGTACCTGGAGAGCAGGCTCCACCTAAGTCTTAAAGATAAACCCTTGTGATGGATTTGTAAGTTGTTGGCTAAAGGTCTAAACTCAAATCTAGTTGTACCTCCTCAGTAAAGCCTTTTCTGGCCCCCCACCAAGCCTAAGTTATTTCTTTCCACTCCCCAATTCCTTGGTACTCTATCTGTAAGTCCTTTTCAGTTAATTTCCTACTCAGGACTTAAGAGGAAAGTTGCTATTAAACATGGCAAGCATTCAAATAAAAAAAACTTCAAATAACTGCATCAAAACGCCAGTTCATGTAATTTTTAGATCCAGTGAGAAAAATCCCGTTTTTCTGGAAAAGGCTACTGATATTTAAGAATGCAGCTGGCTCCTGATCTTATTTCCCCCTGGTAAAGGGAACAATAACGGCTTGCGAAAGCTATGGGAAAGGGCGCGTGTGTGTTCTGCTTCTGCTTTTCCCAGATGTCAGTTACTGAAGGCTTAAGACACAAATCCTATGCCGACTGTTCCTCAGTGGCAGTCCCCATTCAAAGAAGCATTGGGAAGGCTCGTGGGACAGCTCACACGGGGACATCCTGTGCATCCGTGTGCATTTAATTCAAATACTGACCTCATTTTATAGCAACCCTAACATGTCATTCTAATGTATTGGTAAAGATGAGAAAATGGGATGTGAGTTTTATCTAGATTCACGGGCATGGATAGTATCAGCAAGATTTGCGGGGCCCTGCAGAGGGCTAGCAATGCTTATTAAATAACTGCCGTAGGTGCTGTATCATAAATGAGAAGCCAAGGGTGTCCGTTAAAGTCTGCAGGTGGATTCTCATCTGGGGAGCGCAGGCTACTGGGCAGTGATTGAAGTGTCCAGCAGGGGGCTGGCATTCTCTGTCTGTACTTAGCCCCGGTTCCTCTTCAGAGCCTCAGCTCAGCAGAGCTGCTGTTTGCTGGTTAAGTCAGTGACGTGCACAGCATCCTGCCTATAGGATTTGAGGCTTTCTCTGTGCAGTTTTTTTTCTACCCACTTTAAACCTTCAGGTTCTAAATATCAGGAAAGATAGGAAATGCCGTATGAAAATAGCCGGCCAAAAGTTCTTTGTAAACTGCAGCCAGGGAGACTCAGACTAGAATGGAGGTAGAAAGGGTTGGTACAGAGTGGGTTTAATTCTGAGCCCTTTCTGGCCGAATTTTTGTTGTTGTTTTGTTGTTAACTTACTGAATAGAGACATGTAGTACATTGGTCAAGTGAAGACCACGGCAGCGCCAGCGTCAAAATAGTGCCAGACAGTTCTGAATGCTATAGTGTATATGTACTCTATTTTTATTAAAGAAGATAAAGAGCCCAGCATAGATTTTTATCCTCATCTTCACCCAGCTGCAAAATCAAAGTTAAGCAACAGCATCTAAGAGCACTTTTCAGGTGGGAAAGAATCTAGAGGATGGCTCTAAGTGATTGTTTGCTTTTGAACTTGGAAGTGGACCACTTCTTGCACTGCAACATCTCCAGTCACAGTGCAGATGTCCCCATGAACGACGACTGGTTCCACCCGGGGATCCTGTATGTCATCCCTGCAATCTATGGGGTCATCATTCTGATAGGCCTCATCGGCAACATCACGCTGATCAAGATCTTCTGTACTGTGAAGGCCATGCGAAATGTGCCGAACCTGTTCATCTCCAGTCTGGCGTTGGGAGATCTGCTCCTCTTGGTAACATGTGCTCCCGTGGATGCCAGCAGGTACCTGGCCGACAGATGGCTGTTTGGCAGGATTGGCTGCAAGCTGATCCCCTTTATACAGCTCACCTCGGTGGGGGTGTCTGTCTTCACCCTCACGGCTCTCTCGGCGGACAGGTAAGTTCTGGAGGAAAGTCACATTCTCTCTGAGGGTGATAGATGCCTTGGTAAATGAGCCACCACCTTGGGGCAGACAGAGCTGCTTGCACAAAGGGAAGTTCTACTCACACTCCGATTCCCTCCCAGGAATGTTTTTCTTCTGGAGATTACTTCTCGAGTTTGACATACTGGTTTAAGAAAGAAAAGTGAGTGAGTGATGGGACAGAAGGGGACAAATGAGAAAAAAAATATTCTGAGCATAAGATTGACGTTCATTTTCAGGAGACAAATCGATTTAGTGTTGCTTTTTCCTAATTTCTCCCTCCCTGCAAAATTAATTGAGTGGTGAGAAGAAAAAAAAAAAAGTCACACCTAATAGAGTTTACACCCCAGGCAAATGTTTCTTAGAAGCAATTCAACGTCATCAGAGAACAGAAAAGTCTCACTGAATTTCTTCCTCAAAATAGGCTTTCAGAAATAAACAAGAGGAGAAAATAAGCAGCATTTCCTTGAAATTTATTTTCCTCAGACTATTTAACTTTTCTCACAGCTGATTTTGTATTTGGCTCTCTTTGTAACCAGAGAGCTGGTTTTTCTAAGTATCTCTTTAGTGAAATAAGCATGATGTGGATTTTTTTTCTCCTTGAGAAAGCTCCATTCAAGTCTGATTTTGAATTTTAATATCTTTAGTGATGTACTTCCATATACGGTGCCTTTGGGGTTTTTTTTTCAGTGGGGGGAGGGAGTCCAGTGTTTTATTCTGGGAAATACTCATATCTGTGAACTGCATTTCTTGTGTGCACATGTTGCTTTCAAATTCACATGTATTCATTCTTAAAGATTCATCATCAGTCTTTGAACATTTACCGAGCATCTATTCTGTAAACAACTCTTGCTTGAATGAACCAGTCAGGAAATATCTGCAGGTTGTTCACACGTGTGGCTGCATATATCTTACATACCTCTGAGCTCTAGAAATCGGACCCAGTGATGGATAGACTCCAGAAACATCATGGAGCATATGGTCAAATGAAGAAAAACCGGAACATTGAGCCAGAGCCTATACATTTTTATTTTAAAATCCACGGGATGATATGGTGTTAAAGATACACACGGATTTGAGAGTGTACCAGGAAAGAGAAGCAGCTCTTGAAAGTTTATACTCTGAAGAGAATGTCCTACATTTTAATACATACGATAGTGGATTCTCATTTTGTAGAGGAACAAACAGTCCCCAGGTGATCTGGCTTTGTCAAGTAATGGACAAATAAAGATAGTGTTATCAGTATTTGTAGACATGTGTTTAGACTTAGCTGCCTGAAGTACACTGTTCATTTTCAAAGGTGGAAAAATAACAGCCCAGAGACAAGGTTTGCACATCGGACTGGCCAGACAGGGTTTCTCCGTTCCCGCCGCTCACGTCCAGCTTGCTCTAACCTGAGCGTTTGCCCACCAGGTGCTAATGGCCACCGGCAGAAGGTCTGTATGTGTCTCAAGACCAATGGCCCACGGCACCTCGGGATGAGGGCCATTTTCTTGACGGAAAGAGGAGATTTTGCATTCTAGGTTGGTGGGTACGGAGGTGTTGGGGGGGGGTGGGCAGGGAGAAAAGTGAGGGCGTGGAATGTACAAATGCAGCTGCAGGGAGCTTTCGAAGCAGACCATCGGCAGAAAGGCTCTTTCAAAAGCTGGTTTGCACCCTTTGGCAGCTCTAGTGTGCTCTCAGCAACTTTACAGTTACTGTGTGTCCAAGTTCGGAAATTTCCAATTTCCAAGTTCAGAAATTACTATAAGCTTCCGTGTAACTAACTTTTTGTGCTTTGGTAAAGGCTTGAGAAAGCTGATGGCTCACCTGAATCACAGGTACTGCATCTAACCAATTTCAACAAGAATAAGTATTGAGCTAGTTAAATAATATAAAACTATACTTGTCTATCTCGTTTTAAAAAGCTATTGGAGTCTTATGATAACGTCATGAGGTTGGCAGGGCAAACACACACACACAATCTCTATTTTTTCTCAACAAGGTATGATCTATATACAGTAAAGTGAACAAGTGTATAGCTCAGTGTATTTGCACTGTCTTCATAGCAACGTAACCACCACCCGGCTGGAGATATAGAATATCTGGCACCCCAGGAGTTTCTTTTCTGTCTCTTTCCAGTTAATACCCACCCCCAGAGAGAGGCAATCACTATTCTGAATTCAGTTAACATAGATTATTTTTGCCGGTTCGTTAATCTCATATAAATAGAATCATACTTCTTATGCTTCTCATGTCTGTGAGAGTCATCTATGTTGGTGCACATAGCAATGGTTTGTTCTTTTTAATTCTTGTGTGGTATTCCACCGTATGAATATATCTCGGTTTGTATATCCATTCTAATACTGATGGACATTGGGTTGTTTCCAGTTGGGGGCTGCTAATAGCCTACTCTGGATATTCTTATTCATGCCTTTTGGGGTACATGTGTGTTTCTTTCTCTTGGGTCTCAGCCTGGGAATGGAGTCACTGGATCACTGGTGGCATATATTTAGTAAATATCATCAAAGAGTTTTCTAAAGTGCTAGTCTGTATTTGACAGGTTGGTAAAAGGATGAACCAGAGGACCCTCCACACTGGATGATCATCACCAATCATTGGGGAGCTCAAAAAACATACAGCTTCTTGGCTGCTACCCTAAATCTACTCAATCAGGGTTTCCGAGGTGTGAATGGGCATAGTGATAATCATCCGTCCCCGCCCCCCATAGGCTCACCAGCAGTGCCAGCACTCGTTCCAATCTCCCTTCTACAGTCCTCCCTTCCCCCAGGCAAACTGGAATCTTTGTTAATATGAAAGGAATAACAGTTTTCTGGAAAAGTTGATACTGCTGCCACTGTGTCAAAGGGAGACTTCAAGGCAGTCCCAGAAACCAGAATTCTGGGTTTCACACAGCTGACCATTTGCAGATTTGCATTCAGGCCCCTTTACTTTTGGTCCCTGCCCTACCTCTCCTTTCATGGTTTTTTCCCCTTACACATGCACCTGGTGGTTAAACTGACGAGTTCCTGGCTCTGCTTCCTTGCTTATGGTTTTGTGCACATTCTCCAGAATGCTTTCTCCTTTCCTACATAGAAGATTCTACTCCCCGTGTGATGTATGGGCTGGGAATGGGTGTCAACAGTCCTGCCTTTTAGGCTTTTTGCTGCCATTACTGCCCATTTCAGGGAGTCGGACCAAGTCACTAACACTCTGACCTTAGTTGAATCATCTGTAAAGTAATAGAGTTGAGCTAGATTATTTCTAAGGTCTCTCCAAAGTTTTTCAATTCTGTCATCTTGCCTATCACTTGGAATTTGGCAAGCTTCCCCCTTAAAGCCCTAAGTGGGACCATTCTAGCCCAAAGTTCCTGACCCTACTCTAAACACAAAGTTCATCATCTGAGACATGAACTATCTTGTGACTTCTTTCATCTTCCTCTTTTGAAGTATTTCACTCATTTGTCTTTTTTTAGCCTCTTATATATTCATTGCTTTAACTTTTCAAGTAGATTATTAAGGATGCTGAGGGCAGAGATTTCTTACACATCCTTATATCTTCCACAGTACCTCACATGGTTCTTTACACCAGATGTATGATCAGTAACTATTGGTTAATTAAAATTATGGTTAATTAATGCACACTTTTCTTCTCATTCTTATTATTCTTGTCTTTTGGAATTCATCTGAAAGCATACTCCTTAAAATGTTTAAAAACACGGTCACCGGCTTCTTACCTCTTCCTCTCTACTAAGCTGTCATTGTTTGAGTAAATGAGAGAAAAACCTTTCTTTCTGATTCTATAAATAGATTTGGGGGATGAAGAGATGGGTGGATAGATGGACAGATGAACAGACAGGTGAATGGCTGAGTGGATGGGCAGATGGATGGACAGTGGTTGGATGGATGGATGTATTTTTCTGCATACTGCTCTTTCCTATCAGATGCCCATTTCTGTACTAGGCACGTCAGTATTATGCACATGGAATTTAAGACCTGAATTGGACCCTCAACAGGAGAAGGATGAGGAGAGTTCGTGTTTTCTTTTCCAGTAAATGTAAAGTTTAAAGCTATATTTAATGTTGACAGCATATAATGCCCACGTTATATTGTGCCTGCTTCAGTATTATTTTTCAGTGCTATTTCTGCTAGAATGGAGCTGGCAGAATGAATCCTAAGGGTCGATGTATACAGGAGTTCCAATGTAATTGTGATCCTTCTTTGATCCCATGGAAAAGACCGTTCATAAGTTTCCCCCTCCCTTGTGATTTGGAATGTGGAAAGAAACAGGGAAGTGTTGCATTTATGCAAACGTCTTGAAGTACAGATTCTTCGCATTCATTGCAATGAATTTATGAGATAATGTAGTTTTCAACCTTTCCTGATATCTCAAGTCACATGGTCGAACATGTTAGCCACTAATCACAGTGGTTATTTAAATTTAAATCTAATTTAAATAAAACTAAAAATTCAGCTCCCTAGTCACACCAGCCACGTGTGAAAGGCTCAGTAGCCACATGTGACTCTACTGGACAGTGCAGATACAGAACATTTCCATCACTGCAGAAAGTTCTCTTGGAAAGAAGAGAGTTTGCTCTATGTCTTGGGGTCCAAATCTCCTTTCCAAGATCCATGCCAGCTGATCTCTCTCATTGAGAGTATCAGGGATTCCTCAGATGGGCAATTATCAAATGCCTCCTAGCTAGCTTACTAGCTCCTCTAGTAAGAGGACACTAACCACAGCTTGGGTGATGTTTGAGCAGCAACAAGTAGAAGTCATCTTGAAGTTCAAACCCTTGTTTGACAGAGACCGAAAGATGGAATTTGGCCTTGTCACAACAGGTTCAGAGTACAGTCAGACTATAATCCTGGCTTTCCTCGTTCTAAGTCCCAGTTCCTTCGGGGAAAATGGAACCTTTTCTTCAGAAACCATCAAAACACAGAGTCTGATTCCATTTCCCTTCCCTGGACAGCGGGAGCTACTGATCTCAAACCCT